AAGGCTTCTTCAGGTGTGAGCTTTTAAACTTAAAGTAAAACTCAAGCAAAATCAACTTTTGCTTGACTAATAAATGTCTTACCTCAAGCAGAGTGTCAGTTGGGTTTGTTTTGCGTGAGACACAAGCGCTTCTTTCTAAATTCCAGTAACATTTCCATTTAGTGCTCAGGCAGCTGGTGCACCTGAAAACACAAATTGTATACAATAGCTTTGACAAGTGATTTTTTTAGGAATACACAATACAAGTATTGGAATTCAGTGCCTTCTATTACGTATGATTTATAATGTCCTTGAAGTGAGTTAATCCTGCGAAGATGGTCTAATTTGTTCCTATAATAGCCTAGAACAATATTATGAACTACAGAAACAAAATTATTAAAATATAACTCATCTACTTGACGTGACTTGTGAATCTGTATTAACAGGAAGATAAAATGTTCTGTAAGCACTTAATACCAATGCTTTCAACAAGCCATGCATCAAAATGAAAAACAACATATGTGCGATTTGAAATAACATAGATTTAATTTCTAGAACTGGTGGTACTTTTGATCTTCATTTCCTGTTTGAAATACCATAGTCTAAACACAGTTATCAAAACCACAAAGGATTTCACACTTTTTATCTGGCATAGAGAGAAAAGATCACATGCTATAATCAACTGTCATTTATTCCTTGCAAAGAAAAAAACTGATATGAAAGGACTAAAAAAGGGAGAAACGGCACTTTGCACACTTACAGAAATAGCCCATTGGACTCAACAGCTCTTATTACATTAATAGTAGAATGAAGGACAATAAACACTTTTTAATACTTCATTTTTTAGCAAAATCAACATATTAATACACTGTATCGTACACTGTTTTTAAAAAAATGTCTATACATCTTTAGTCGTATGACTAAGATGTATAGGTTTTATAAGGTTTTTGCCTTACGCCTGTAAGTGTGCTTCTTCATTGATATGTTTCATCTGCACTTTAAATGTGTTTTATCAACTAAATTCAAGCCCTGGATTAAATCATGGCTATGACCCATCACAGACTACAAACAATATACTGTAGATGATGCAGGTTTTTTTTTTTAATAATAATAAATCTTGGATTGACAAGTATTTTTTTTAAATATGTACTGTAGTCTTTACAGATACAATCAATGCATCATGACATAAGTGGAGAGGTAATAAATAATGACAAATAATCCTTACACTTATATAGAGCTTTTCTGGACACTCCACTCAAAGCATTTTACAAGTAATGGGGACTCCCCTCCACCATTACCAATGTGTATCCCCTACCTGGATAATGGGATGGCAGCCAAAGTGTGCCAGTACACTCACCACACACCAGAGAACAGAGTGATGAAGCCAATTCAGAAATGGGGATTATTAGGAGGTCTTGATTGGTAAAGACCTGGGGACAATTTGGCCAGGGCACTGGGGTTAAAACCCCTACTCTTTTCAAGAAATGGGATTTTTAATGACCACGGAGACTCAGGACCTTGGTTTCATGCCTCATTTGAAGGATGGTGCTTATTTTATAGTGTCCTCATCACTATGCCACTGTGTAGCATTAGGACCCACACAGAACACACAGTGAGTGCTCCAACACTTCCAGCAACAACCTTAGCTTTCCCAGGAGGTCTTCCACCCAGGTACTGGCCAGGCTAACACTTGCTTACCTTCAGTGGGTTGCCAGTTGTGAATTGAGGGTGATATACTGTAGCTGCTGACAATAGATCAGCTGATATAGGTCTGTACATACTCTCCTCCTAAGTCATTGCTGTTTTTCACAAAGCCCCACTGCGCCTCTTGACGTGAGCATTGATTTGAGGACTGGTGCAATTCCCAATATAAGGTCACAGGCATGCAGAAAACCACAGGCATAACCGAGCTGACTCAAGCCTGCCTATCCCTGGTGGATCTTAGCCAGTAGTGCACTGCCACTAGGGGAATCCTGGGTACAGCCAACCAATGAGACAGAACCCACTAACAGGTATTGGTTTTGAAACCCGCTGCCTGTGGGTGGCGTGAAGTTTGGGATTTATTCCAGCCCTTTCTCAATACAACTTAAAGCTGCATCAATCAGAAGTAAGCAACGTTGCCAACGCAAGCCTTGCTACTGCCTACTGTGAGGGGAATTAGCTGGATTCTGAAAAATGGAAAACTGTTCCAAAATATCATGTGATGACCTTTGGCCAGGTTTACGACATACTGTATTGAGCATTTCTCAGAAATTGCAAAGCTGTTTCAAATTTTCCAAAACAATCAGGGGATGTTTGCTCAGCAAAAGACACAGAATACTATGTTGCCGCCTGGTTTATTTTAGATTTTTCATACTTGGAGTTACAGAAAGCTAAAATTAGATCTGTCTTGCGAGTGAAGTGGAATCAGTAAAGTGGTTATTTTCTTCCGACACTTGTCTGCAATATACTGTGTACGCAGTTGGCTGAGCATGTACACTGGGTAACTCACGGTCTCTTTGAATGAACAATCCCAGTCTTCTCACAGTCATAGATGGTGAAGTTCCCCCAGACAATAGGAGTTCCATTGACCTTGATTGACACAGGAATGACCACGTGATCTGTTAAAGACAACCAAGCAATCAGAACTAGAAAAATAAAGAATACACAGATTTAAAATAAAGAAAATTAATTTCCCAATACCAACAAGCACTTGAAAAGCTGAAACATGTAACATGTCCAAACATGAAAAGCAAACATGACTAGTCATTTAATATCAATACTTTTTGCTATTAATTTTTCAACATATCTGAACCAGAGGGAAAAGAGATGGACCAGACAAAGGCAAGAGAAACATTTAACAAGAAAAACGAACTAGTCAGAGGCCACAACATTCTTCCAAATTTTAAGTTACATGTTGTAGTTTTATATTCTCATCACAATATTTTCAATTATAGGTTTCAATTATATTCCCATTATAGGTACAATATTGAAAATCATTATGGAAACAGATTATATTATACAGTATACTTTGTTTCAAATTATATAAAGTGAGTATGCATATATACAAGCACAATCATTAAAACACACAACAACACATTCAAAACATTAATATTTATTATGTTAGCCCTTTTCTTTATGCTCTCATAAAGCTAATCATTGTAGGACTCTAAAATGTTCCAAATGACCTCTAACAGTTTCAACAATTCATCCAATTGTTTTGGTGACGGTCTTACTACTATGTCCATGTAGCCCCATATGGATAATGTTCATATTAGAACTTTATGAACACTGCAATATCCTTTTGACTTTTCCGTTAACCTCTATGTGGTTTAGACTTTCACTATGTTGGCTGTAAGTTGGAGGTTGCATGCTTTATGTACTGTATTTTTCTCACATCATCTTCTGTTGTTATTAATTCCAAGACTGTACATCTGCCTATTACGTAATGTGTTATCTGCATGAGATCAATTTGTTTTCAGGAAGTCCTTTCATTACTAACCTACAATGGCTGGCAAACACAGAGGGACAATACAGAGCTTTAATAAAAGGTGGGTCAATGAATAGCTTTTTTCTCTTCATACTCCACCCCAATTTAGTACCCATTATATTATTTTAACATGAGACAAATGAAAAAAAGTCCACTCCAATGTACCTACCCTCAGCAGGTTGAATTCTGGGAAGCTTGTCTTTGGGCAAGAGTGGGCAGGTTTGGATCTGAGGAGGTCCCGAATTGACCGCGTATATCGTTGCCCTGGTGGAAACTCCGTTGCCATAGCTACACTCAACCTCAGTGTTGCTAAGATCTGGAACGCTGCCATTGATCAGAATCCCAAAATCCTGGGGAGAGCAGAATTGGGACCAAGCTAAGGAAAGAGGTAATATTTGCCAAACCATCAACCCCACCCTCTCCCATGTAATAGCACACTTATTTTTTAAGAACATATTATTTAAAAAAATATTTTCCCATAGTAAAATAGTATAAAGGTGTACAGCAAAATAAGTTCTAGAGCCATCACTGTATAATTAAATAAATTCAGATCCTGAAAATAGCACGGGCAATTTGTTTTACAAATAAAGAGTGTGGCCATAGTATCCATAAAAGGCCACCCTTTTCCAATGCTTAATGTGATTTCATCAAAACATTTAACAGGGGAAGCCTGTTATCTATAACACTATAATCATTAGAACATAAGAAAGGTCTTATCATAAGTGCTACAAATGAGATGAAGGGTGTCTGGCCCATTTAGCTTGTTTGGTTGCTAGAAACTAAGTGATATGAGGATCTCAACCTCACATGTCTTGAAAGAAGCCAGGGTGTCAGCTATGACAACTAGGCTCGGTAGTTTGTTCCAGACGCCCACAGCCTCTTAGTCTTAGCTTGTAACTACACTTCCCCATAGTTCCCACTTGTGTGCTCTAGTTTGTGTTTCACGGCTGGTGCTGATGATGTCCACTGGATAGATATGCCCTTGAGAGTTGAGAAATAATTAACTTCCTTACAAAAAGATCCCATTTCGTTGCAATTTCCTGGTATGAATAAGCTAGCAGCAAACCATATCAGCAAGAACTCTAATCTGTAACCTTTTCTTAAGTTCAATTAAGTCATAAAGGCACTATATCCAGCCTGCTTCTGGGAGAGGAATGATGGTGGGTGGTTGGACCCCAGCTCTAAGAAGTCACTGACAAACTGGACTCACCTTGATGTCGGTGGCGATGTCGATTTCTCTGGGAGTTATCGTCATGGACGGACATTGCTGGGGCCCTTCGCTCAGTCCAATCCAGAATCTGGGAAGGAGCTGGTGGGCACATTCTTTTTGTATTGAGCACCTGCAGCAAAGGGAAGATGTAGAGTGAGAAGACACAAGAGGGAGGGTTGTTTTGTGTGTTGAAAGATCAAAGCTCCACTCTGAAACTGGCAGAATATGCATGTCCTGAGCGAGACGAAGCTGTAGGTAAGCATCTACCCCATATACAAAAACAGGTGATTATTGGATCTACTGTGTGGGACTCAATGTGATGTAAAGTCTACTTCTTAGGGTGAGTAAATACCGAACTGTTCCACTTTTAAAGGATTTTCATTTTATTTTACCCAGACCGTCCTGAGAAACAAAAAAAGAAAAAAAAAACTTGACCTTTGATTTCTGTCAAGACAAAGGGCCTGTAGAAAGTCTTACACCCTTTCTGAAGTAACATATTTTGTGGCCTAAAAGCCTGAAATCACGACGCATTAAATATGAAGTTACTTTACCCTTATTTACGCAACGTAACCCATACCCTCCAAGTGAAAAACAAATGCTCATACATTCTGAAAAAAGAGTTGGAGAAGCGATTACATCATCAGCATCGGTAGTTGTCCTTTGATGTTGGTAACATTTTACAGTGACCTAAATAAGTGGATCTTCCAAAAGCCATCTGCCCCCCTTTCTGATAGATTTATCTCTAAAACGTCCCATTACCTGTGTAGGACATATCTGATAAGCCATAAAGCCCACAATATTAAAAACGATCACGCTGTAGTCCTGGTCAAAAAGCCAAAGAAGAAGAAAAGTTTATTAAATCCTCACAACATTTTAATTTGAGAGTGCAATGTGAAACCAAAAGCCAAACAAATAGGACTTCCTTTCACACACCGAAGAAATAAAACCACTTCTCTAAGTATGGGCAAAACATTATGCCGCAAAGAGGATGTAATGTGTGTTCTCTGAAAGCAGTTTAAATGCTTTCAGAAAATCCACACCAGAACCCATTAAAAAAAAAACTAAAATGTGTCATACAGAACTGCACATGATCATTCCAAAACAGTTCAGCCAGCGAATGCAAAAGTACCTTTCACAAAATGTAACAAAGCCAGAAAATCTTAGTTGTTCCCTTCAGAACGACTGTCTCGCCCTTTTCACTCAACTTCACACTCCACAATAAGAAGTGCCCAAAAGCACTGAACAAGTCCAATACTAAAATGTGTACAATTTCCTAAGATCATCATCTAATTTGGATTTGATCTGAAAATAGCTCCACGTAGGACAATTGTCCAAGTAGGACAATTGTGGGGCTCGGCATCATGTTTAATTGGTGTTTTGAGAAATTAGTAAAGTGATGTCATTGAAAAAAAAGGCATCATGTCTCATCTATCTATTAACAAAGCTGTTAATTAAAAAAGTAATTGTTTTTGTGGATCTGACCAATCCTTTGAAAAAAATGTGTTTTTTTGTTCCTTGATCAAAATCTAGTAAATTGTATCATGGGTAACTGTACTTATATGCATCTTTTAACCACAAGTCATGAAATTACGAAAGAAATACTGTTAGCTTCATTGCAGTGTTATTGTGTTTCTATGTCATCGGCTTTCCTACTTCATTAATTCCCAACAGAAGCATGGTCTGGGCCGTTGCATTAGATTAGTGTGATATAACCCAGTGTTCAAACCAGGCCTGGCAGAGTTTGGCTTGTTTTTTCTATACTGGTGTACATGTAGTAGAAAGGAATTGGGCTGGACCTATTTTCAACATAATTTATAGATACTACCTTTTGTCAATGCATTACCTGTGTCAGTTAAAGAAATGTTTGTATGACCTTAAATGGCAAAATGAAAAATAGCGACGTCAGTACAGTAATCAGCAGCCTTACTGTCTGACCTTATCATCTCTTTAAAAAACCTATGGACCTCAAAAATATAAAAAACAGGAATCATCCCTGTTTTCAAAAGCTCTTCAATAAGTTAAGAAGAAGCTGACTTTACGCACTTTCTCTAACTTTTATCGTGCAAAGCTGCAACTTGACTTCCTGTTGGTGCTCTCTTAAACACATCATAAGAGACGATTACAGTGAGGAGGTCATCTTAGCTGCTAAAAATAACATGAGTCGTTTGTCTGGGTTCAGAAGTAACCATGATATCAGAGGGGCCCTCAGACACTGTAAAATTCAGGATGGGGAAGTGGAAAGCAGGGTTAGATCCAGAGCACACTGGTGATGAGTGTGTGACTCATTGAACATACATCCAAGCCATTTTTGACAAAGGATGAGGGGATCGACTGGCTTGGATTTTTCCAACGTTTTTCTCTGAAAAAAATAAAATAATTACATGTTGCAGTTCACAACTCTTTTGTCAGCAGCTTTGCACCCAAACAAAAAGAACAAGTTCAAGATTTTCTTGACCTCAGGGCCTCAAAAAAGGAAAAGAAAATACAAGCAGGAATTCAAACTCCATGTGAGAGAGGCAATTTTATTTGTTTTATCTTATATTATGAGTTTCTCATCACAGAAAACCTGGGAAAATCTGAAATGTACAAATAGTGAAAATAGCTTGTGAATTAAATACACCATTAAAGTATTGCAGGATTATTGAAGAGGAAACATTCCACTTTAAATAGGGGACGAACAGTTGCATAAAATGATTAATTTAAGACTTGGAAGGACTGCTTTAGGTCTAAATTGCCAGACTCCAACAAGAAAAGACTTGCTTTTCCTGCTACAGTAATGCTGAGTTAATAATACTCAGCATACTGATGTGAAATGATTTTTGGACAAAAAAAGCCTTAATAATGAAGTGCAGACAAAACCCCACTGAGCCAAAATCCATATTCCTCTACTTGGATATTCAAGCATTTTTTTCCAGCAGTGCTCAGAATCATTCATAAAGCAACCTTGCCTCCCTCCCAGTACCCCATTTTACACCAACGACCAACTGTGATCATCTAAAGAAAGGCATAGTTTGATACCTGACATGACATCACGTAACAAAATAAATGCTGTTCAACACTTGCAGTGTGTGAAATTCATTTATAAGTCTTGTGAAGCTAACAGGAAGCCCAGCCTGGGGCCATCTTCTCTCATGTAGACAAAAGGAATCAGGCTCTGCAAATGTCTTCAACCACAATGATAAGTTAGGTTTTTTAGAATCTCAAGTTAAACACAGTGTTGTTCTGTTCATGACTCGCACGTTCGGTCTTGTATTCTTAAGTACGTGTTTTGCAGATGTATGAACAGATGCCCGTGGTTTTGGTTTCAATATGATGCTCAAAATAGTGAGGTCCAGCTCAAAGAATTTCCCTACAACCTGATGATTTATGGTGTCCTGTGTAAATTACTGAATCTTGATTCTTGGATGCTTACAGTACCTCTTTCTTTGCTCTGATTCCAGTGAAAGAATATTTGCTCAGCTAGACGACATGATGCTCCCTGTGCTCCTTGTGCATGACAAACCTTGCACAGAGGGGTGGTAAACTGTACAATAATAAGTCAAATGACAGTCTGGATACCATGGTTGTGGTTGAAAATTGCAAGTTCCCATTAAAATCATTCTTTAAATGTGTTTGATTCCTTACTTCCCCTCAAACTGTTGGTAAGACATCAGCAATGAGTAACTAAATGAATAACAGCCACAATTGTAACTGCTGAAAGGATTTTTTTTATTATAGAGCAAGCCAATTTGTAATCGCCAATAGTGTTTTCACTGCTAGTGTTACAGTGACAACCCCAGGCCCCTGGGGGTGAATGAGCACGCAAAAAGCTGCTCACCCCCTGATCCACTCAATTTTTTAACACAATAAGGCTGCTCTGCAATATTGAGGAGGGTCAGTGACAATGGATGCAGGGCTGTCACTTGCCATTGTCATTGCAAGCCTAAAGGTGCCAACTCTACCCTGATGGTGCTGAGCTAATTGTGGACCAGCGCTTGGCAACACCTGGGCACAGTCTACTACTGACTTGACCCAGGTTCGATTTCCTTACAGAGCTCAACCTGTATTCAAAATGAGCGCCTTTACCCTTCGATTCAATGAGAAGTCCCCAAGAAAACGGATTTTGGAAAAGCTTTGCAACAGTCATTTTCTTTGCATTCCTAGATCTTAATGCTATCAGAATGGAGCTGCTCTGTACCTGTTCTCCAGAGTGCACCACCCACAGTGGGCATCACCAGCTAAGAGGCATTCGCTGCAGCTGGTGTACCGGTCACAGCTGGCAACCTTCACACGGAGGAGCTGAGAAAACACCAGAACAAGGGCCAAGTTAGTCATACCATGGACCTTGGACAGGGTCCAAATTCTAAAGTACACATACCCACTAAACTTCGAAGATGTGAATGTCTGCAAGGATCGCTTATCATTTCCACATTTAATTCTCTTGACATTGGTATTTGTAGGTCCTTGAGTGAGAGCCAAAAAGTGAAAATCCTTGAGGGATCACAGCAGACAGGACCACAGTAAACAGTAGACAGTTTGTTTCATAGATTGGGAAGGACTGCATTCATATAAGAAAAAAAGGAGTGCTTACAAACATTAACAAATAAATAACAGCAAGTAAATAAAAGGGTTATTCAGTGAATTGACTAAGAAAGACCCAGGTAACTTGCTGGACCAAGAATAATCCTATGCAGTAGTAGGTGAAAGAACTCTGTAAAAACTCTCAGCAAGTCATGGACCTTTACGGCACATAATCGCAAAACTGAAAATGTTATCCTGTTCTTACTAATGAAGCTCCTTTCACTCTGTCACTGTTTTTCGCCTCTGGTACTGGGTTGTGTACCAATACATACATAAATGTAGCTCTGATTCCCCTTATCTTATTTTTCTGCCAAAACGGTGCTACTAGCAGTGACTGCTGATCATATCAAACACTTAGCTCATAAAAGCCTATGCCACGGCCAAAGTGTGAGCCCTTCTTTCTCACTTGAGAGGTGTGTACAATACATTTGAGCAGCTTGCTTTATTTTCACCCAGATGCCGATAGACAGAATTTGTAGATCTGCGTACAGAACTAACAGAGCTCTTAATTCAGCTTTGCGTTACCCCCCACCCCCGACACACACACACACACATCTCCCATAAAGTGAAAAAGACGAGGGTCTGAGTGGAAGTCCCCTCTGAACTTTAAAATGAGTCGCCCCACAGCCCCAGCTTGCTAGCCTCCACCCCTAGAACATTGAAAAAAGCTCCACCCCCCCACACCCCCCAGAAAAATGAAACAACATTATTTCCCAACATTTGGTGCTGATAATGGTGCATCCCATTATCAAGTACAATTGTGCTTCCTGGTATCACTGCTGGCTGGGCATATTTGAGTTGACTTAATGTATTATTATTATATATTATTTTAGCTTCTTAAGTTTTATTTTATTCTAATAAGTTAGTTAAGCTAATTATACATTAGCTAACCGCAAGTCTCCTGTTGTCTTTTTTTAAACATTGCCCTTGTTTGCCATGTAAGAGCCATCCTGTGGTTTGACTCTATAAACATCTAATATTATCACTGTTTTAACTATGAGGCTTGGTCATCACTTTGGTCACGTACTTACAAACCAACACCGCTACATGGGAGGAAACAGGATGTAACAGTAGCAGAAATAAAAAGGGAAAAACTGGTCTCATACCAATGAACATCATGGTGTCAAGTTAGATGTACACACAGCAGCTTGTCAGTTTTTAGTCAGTGAGTCACTACTGTGTTCTGGAAATGAGCCATGAGCTATTACAGTCTGGTATTATATTACAGCTTCGTATTACTATAAAGTATTCCTTTACATTTCTTATAATGAATGATGAAGCCATCAAAGCTGATAGCTTAATAGTTGATTCTGACATTGAAATTAATATTCTTACAGTCCAAGGCTGCTGTAATTGCTGTAAGATTGATATTGTTGTTATTTGAAAACTACAGAAAGCAAGCTGGCTGTTTTGGAGTGAGTGACAAACACTGTGGAGTATTTTTTTTTTTTATTTTGATTGCATTGGTCCTTCACCTGACAGTTCCTCTGGTATTTGAAAACTATAATTTTAGAAATTGCAGAATTCCACACTTAGCATACACTGTACAGAGAACACTTAAAAGAAACCCATGTTTCCCTAAGCTTTACTAAAAGCAAAACCAGGTTTCAATCATTTATTAATTCTGACTTTCTGTTACATTTGGATAAAAAAATGCATTAATAATAGCGAATGAGTGAATAAGAAACTCACCTGACGAGATGTCATAAGATAGAGGTAGTTTCTATCGCTGGGGTCAAAGATCATGATATGATGAACTGACTCTCCTGCTGCTACTTTCAGAGAGCTCTTATTGGCCAGTGTCAGGTTCCTAAGCAGGTTAAGCTACAAAAGAAAAAATTGACTTAAATTATATTCATAGTTTTTTTTTATCAGTTTCTCAAAACTGTGGAAAAAGTAGATCAGAGCAAATTACCCTATTAAAAAAAGTCTGAAGTGTGAAAATAAATTGCAGGTTTTCCGTTTCCTGTCTTCCATAATTTTTTTAATCTTGTTTTGCTTTTGTCTGTTATTGTGTAGAACATTCTTTAACAAATTCTGCTTTGCTTCTTCAAGCTTAAATGAAAGGTGATATTTTTATAAAAAGTTATAATAAAATATACAGTATGTATATATATGATTAGAAAAAAAATCACCTAGGTAACTTTTTCTCCATATAATAAATAGCTGTGTCTGTTTTCTAAAAAATAAAGATTAAATTACATTATATTTTGACAATTTAGTAACTTTGTGAATTTTAAAACACCACAAACTAAGAAGGTAGGACTCCAGAACATTGAATGTCAACAGGTTCTGAAAACCATCCCGAAGGATTATAGTTGCAAACCAAAATGACAGCATTCATTTTACTCAAAATGACCTGTACTGAAAATGATGTGCTGCATCTAGGTCACAGGACTGGCTTTTTATTAAGGGACTGTGTCTGAAGTGGTCACAGAAGGTCAAATAGTACACGCTTTCCTGCATGTTTTGCAGCCTGAAGCCACAAAGCCTCAGTCAAAATTAAATTTAAACCATTAAAATGATGTATTTGAAACAACAATAGTTATATCTCACAAGACACGCACACACCCAAGAAGATTTAGTAAAGAGATAATAGGAACAGAAGCAATTGCATCTCAGAAAGAGATAACAAGCCAGACACCTTTAAACCTGAAAACAGACACAAGATGACTTTGAAAGGTTTTTGCTCCAGAGCAAACTTTGCTTCCGCTTCACTGAATTGTGAGATTAGAGGAAAAATGACAGATGCCACAAGATCTAAACTGGTATTTTAACCCAGGTAATTTCTACACAAATATATACGCATATGAAACAGAACATAAATTAACAGCATGACATAATTAATAATGGATACTATGACACCTTTTTAGACAGAATATTAAGAATGCTCTTGAATGGGCACTTGTATTATGCAATGCATGGCCTGCATGAACAGAGAAATTTCTATCAATTTCCTGGCCACAACAATGCACCAGACAGTCCCACACATTAAGCATCACAACCTCAAATAGAGATGAACCTGATAGAATTGCTTGGTATTTGGCTGCATATCTTGCTAAACCATGCTAAACAATGTGGAAATCCATGTAAATATGTTCAAGCTATTCAGGCTGCTTACAGTGACTCCACATATTTTTGGGTGTTCCTAATATTTTGATGAATTAATGTACCATATAAATAGACCAATGACATTTAAATGCAATAGTGTGCGTCTTTGTCTACAGTATTGTCTCGGCTTCACTCTCTAAGTCCAACCAGTTCAATGTTATCTGAGCAGGAAACATGACTGCTACCCACTCATGAGCTCAGGCTACACAATTGTGTTTCCACACTATCTTCCATTTGGGTGTCATACTATCGTACTGCAAGTAAAAAGGATACGTGAAAAACGTGACTTACACAAGTACAGCGTGATACTGCCTGCACTCTTTTGACTTACCTTTGGAACCGCTAAAGCAAAATATTTCACAGTACACAAGGTGGTATTTTATAATCCTCATCATCACTTTTTAGAGTGGAACTTTATTGATAAAGTATCCTGCTTTCAATCTGAGCTATGTTTCTGCTGCAAGGTGAAATCTGTTGTGGTCACCATCCGTGGCATTCTTTCATCACTGTTTTTGTCAGCCACTCCAGACTAGTCCTTCACTTAAGTCTGTTGCCAGTTTGGCTTCAGGTTCTGAGGTCAGTGAAACAGACCAGCTATTTGGCATCCAATTCATTTTCAGATGTAGAGGAACCGAAATTTCACAAGCTCTTTGCCATTTCTCAGACATTGCCAATCAAAAGACTGCTCACCACTGTTTCTGCTAAAGAGCACACGCAATGAGTCAGCTTTTTTTTTGCATGGCTTCTAGTGGAGATCCTTTAAATGTTCTGTTGGCAACGTGCCCTGAGACAATGGTTTGTATCCTACTTTTCGGATTTTACAATAGCAGTCACATTTCACGCACTATTTGAGACGTTCTGCGTCACTGTTAATGTGACATCCCACAAATGAAGGCTCTCTAATGAATCTGATCATATCGCAAAATGGTCCCTTGTCCTACAGCCTACAGTACATATCTTTCATATCCTAGATATGTATTATGTGAAAGTTGCTGAAAAGAAATGTAAGGACAAGACATTGTACTGATCAGTACCCAGACTGCTTGAAACTAATTAAAGGGTTTTGCAAGCAAGCAAAGCAGAACTCTTTTGACTTTTTCTGTTACACTGTTGTGAAATTTGTTTGGCTGTTACTAGAGTTTTCTTCTGGTCTCACGATAATTATCAATTACACATACGACTGTTCAGAGTTCTCTGTGGCACTGTGCCATCCAGCTCATACAGGTGCAGTTACAGAAATGTGCTTTCCCACGTCAACAAACTCACATTTCATTATGAATACTAAAATGACGTTGAATATAATGTAATATTTATTGACATTTACAGTTTCTATAGCAACCACTAAACTCTCACCGTCAGAGCCAAACAGTCTTTACACATAGTGGCTCTGTTACACTCAGGGAATTTTTGAGTTACACTCACAAGTTCACATTTTGCAACTTTGTTTTGAAGTCACGGACAAACAGATGCTTTGTTTACGGATATTCTGAGCATTTATGGTACAACACAAGTGAAATTCATCCATCAAGAAACTATTCGGTTGGTACAGGAGTCATTCCACAAGCAGCCAAACTTCTTGAAAGTAATAGGAGGTGGAATCATGCTGCTACCAGGATAAAAAGAAGTTGAGATTCTGAAAGTAAGCTATTAGGTGAATCAGAAAACATCTGGGCAATTTGTATTACATTTAATGAGAACTTGTTCTTTTAAGATAAAGATATGCCATAAGCTGCAGATGTAAGGCTCTTTCATTTTCCAAATCATACAGACACTCTGTAATTTGACTGTTTCTGACTCTGATTTTTCTTTGTGTTTCAACTGTAACATATTTGTGAAAAGAGAAACAACAGAAACTAGACAAAACAAAAAGCCCAGAGTTTCTTCCACCTCTGCTGACCATACCTTCCAAAGCCTGCCACTGGCGGTCCCAAGGAAAACCACAGAATGGGTGTGAACACTGTCCACAGCCACTGAGGTCAGGCCCACTGATTCGAATATAGGGGTGGCCTGTAGGGGCCTGCGGAGAGCCAGGGGGTGCTGGAGATGAGCTGCCCCACAGTCCAGTTGTTCCATCTGCAGCTGAAGAGAAGATAGAGGAAACAGTTTTTTTTACAGCAAATACAGTACAAAAGAACCGCATTCTGCTGAACACTCAACTGTGAAATCTCACTCTGCTCATCTCAATCTAAAATCTTTGCTGTAACAAGAAATAAAGGAGATCAAAGTATATCATTTGCACCATAACTGACGCTCAGTTCAGACTTGTCTGGATTTGTGGACAGTATCCTAGGTGGGACTGGGAACGAAATAACTAACGATAACTACGTGATTTGGCTTATTTCTATATTTATATATAGAAATATACTGCTTTCTAAATGTATCGTCACTAATATTCCTTCTTTTGGACATTCTTTCTCACTTCTCACTTCTGCTTCATCTCTTATGTTCCTCAAACCAGAAAAGCTTAATGTCAAAATGTATTTTTTCTACTTTTCCGCATAGTCTTACCCTCTGCTTGAGGGGAGCATATCTATTCATGTCTTTTTCATCAAATGCTTTGTTGTAGTGACCATACAAGATCAATAACGGGGAAGATGCTTCCATGGACAATGACACTGCACCAGAGAGGAAATAGATGGCGATCGATAAATTGGAATCATTGATGAAGACCTGCCTGTGTGGAAGGACACAGTGCATACCTGCATGAGGTTGCTTAGTAACCACTACCACCATACATGGGACTGAACCAGTCATGTTCACCCTTGTGATTGTTTTATATTTCATTGATCCACAGTGTACAGTGTTTTCCGACACATTTACTTAATTTAAGTCAGCTATCTTTATATTATTATTGTTGTTGTTGTTGTTGTTGTT